TCAACACAAGCAGCGAAAAGACTGACCTGATGTCTAATGGAAATTTTCCAGTCAGGCATGATAATAATGTGAATCTGGGAATGATTGGTGGTAAAGAGAGACTGAGCAAAACAGCTGAAATACATGCCAGAGGCTATGCATTCCTCTAAGCTGGTGGATATACAGTAATCACAGGAAATCGAAGTTGCTAACTATTCAAGATCAAGGTAGATTAACAGCAGTAGAAAATCAGTAGCAGACAAATGAAACTTTCCCATCCCTGCTGATCACAAGATGAGCCTTCTCTTTCACATGCAGAGCTTGCTATTGCCATCTACCACTTTGCCTCTTTTGAAGTAAACTGATCAACGTGCTCCATTTATTTTTAATTGATAGCAATTCTGAAACTACTAGTAAGGTGTCTGCCAATATGTTAAATGAGGCACTGTGCAAACAGTGTATGACACTGGTACTTGAGAACTTGCATTTTTTATTTGAAAACATCTGGGGAGACAAGAAGATGCTCCAAAAGCCTTAAAGGATGTGGACTGGCCAGCCTGATCTCTGACATCACTTGCCAGTTAGATTCAGTAGGACAACCAATGCCAAAACCTCTCTGGTGTAATGAAGACAAGGCTGCTGGCTGGCTGGTTCCATAAGAGGACTGAAGCACTAATTGGTTCATATTTGCTGACTTTTGGTGTAATTTCCAAGGACTCTTTATTACCCTGGCTTTCTGAAAAAGATCTGGAAAAGCTGACAATCCACATGTGGACATGTAGTTATTAGAGAACATCTTACTGTTCATTAATATAAGTTGTCTGATGTGTTTCCATTGATTTAAATATGTAGCAGGGCACAGAGACGCCACATATGCTTTAAATTTTCTTCTCCCTTTGTTTATTTATATTGAGCAAGTTTGCTTTACTCCAACCATGGTAGTTCTGGCTAGTCTTTAAATAACTCAAAGAGAATTATATAGACTCTGCTGTTGCTACTTAGGTCTTCTACCCATGCACCTGCTGGCTGTAACATCATTTGCTGTTCAAGAGAGAAAAACTCTTTTGGCTCTGCGGGGCCTTTGAGGGGCTTTTTGCAGAAAGTGATTAGCAATGAGTTTTCTCAGTCTGGGCTCTCTTTGTGTCCATTCAGTCAACAATCAATGAAGATAACTTGAATTCTGTTGTCATACCTCCTATCGCCTGATGGCTCTCACTGCATCATCCCTACCAAAGCCAAATCACTTCTGCTCTCACTGGGGCCACTTTCGCTGATTGCTCTCTTCTGACTGTTTTAAAGATAGATGCTCTAAGCTCTGACCTCAGTTTTTCTTTCTCTCAGTCCAGGACTGCCTGTCCTCCTCCAGCTCTCTCCTTACAGTTAATGAGTCTCATTCATTTATTCTGTCTCCTTGCAAGTATTTTTAGACTGTGATCATCTCCCTTGAGTTGGCTATTTCTCAAACAAGATAAATGCTATTTCACTTCATCTTTTATCATGTGTTCCCTGTGCATTATTACTTGACACTCTTCATGTTTTAACTCTATATCCTCTGAGGATGTCCAATGAAGACCTTTTGCATGCAGACCTTGAGGGCTGCCCACTAGTGTAGTATGAAGAGGAAAACCATTCAGTTCTTATTTTTAATGAGATTCTCACTATACACAAGAACAGACTTCTTCCAGTTTACTTCACAGTTGCATCCCCTAATTTGCTCTATACTGTCATTGCAAAGACTTCTGAGACCTTAGAGGTGGCACCGTTTTTTCAGGTAACCACACTTAAAATAGATAACCCACTAAGCAAAAGTCTATGGTTTCTGTGCAAGGTCTTAAGTAACAGGGAGATTTTACTTCAGATACTAGCATCATCAGAGAAGAAATGATGCTCAGCTCATTTTCCAAAGCCAGAGAAGCCCTAAGTGTTTTATTTTAAAAACCTTTATAAGTACTTAGACATTGTCACAAGAAATCATGTTCCAAAATATATTTGCTATTGCAGCTGCTATTTAATAAATGCAAATAATAAGTAATGGCTCTCTAAGCACAGAAAATGAGAAGCTTTTATTATTTATCCTTACAAAACCTTAGAGCCATTGAACAGATTTAGAATTTGTGACATTGCCATTGAGCTCAGCCTTCATTTAATAAATCATAGCTAAGAGCAAGGGTTCTGTTCACAGTTGTTGAGCCCTGATAGATTTTCTTGCCAAAGTTTTCTATAAGTGGGTGCATAGGTATGACAAGGAAGGGATGTCAGGACAGTTGGATAATTAAAGAGCTACTCTCAACTAGTCCTGCAGAACCACTACTCTACCCCAAACAGGGCAGTCCACACCCTTGGGAACGAGTAGAGAAATAAGCCAATATACAGGGTCAGTCTAATGTTACATTTTTATAGCTCTTTTCATCCCAGAGGATCATAACTGTAAAGGCTGTATCCGTCTGAAAGTCCCACCACTACTGCTGAAATCCAGCAGTCTGCTGCAAAGGAAATGTTTAGCCACATAAAATGGTGATGCAGCAATTTACAGCCAGGAACACAGGTGTCTGACAGAAAGAATAACTGTGCGGAACTGTGCTGCAGTTACTCAAACTGGGATCTCTCTCTGCTTCAGCAGGGACGGAGACTTCGCCGTGAAGACAGGCAGCTGTGACCCTGACGCAGGGGCTGGGCATGATCCCTGCTGTGAAGAGGCAACAGGCTTCATGAACAACTAGTCCTGTTGTGCTGCATAGGGGCTGTCCTTGCAGAGTGGGCCACCAAAACTCTGAGTCGGTTGTGCCTTCTCAGCGTGCAGCCCCGAAGAGCTTACAGCCTAGGGCAACGTGGCAGCAGGTGCCGAGTGCCGGGAGCTGCCCCAGACTGTAGTGTCAATCAAACGCCAAAAGCAGAGGGCAAGGGTATCAAACCATAATTTCTGCTGATGTGAGGAAGCTGCTGGATGAAATTTCTGGAGCCTGTTGCCTTTAGAAATATATGAAAGAGACCAGTCTGTGGAATAAGAATAATCCTGGGCATCCTTCCAAGGCAAGGTGTATGGCACAAGGCGCTGGCTCCAGTTCCAGTGACAAGGTGACTGTCTGCTCACCTTGATGCCATCGTGTCAGTAAGGAATAATTTATGTTGAGATGCTGTTTGTGGGAGATGATAATAGCTTAATTTCCCTGTAGCTTTCAGTTGAGGTTGATAGTGTAATTTATAAATAGAAATTAGAACGGCCCTGCAAGTTGGTTATCAGATGAATTTTTAGATTGGTCATTACCTTAAAGTAGGAAGGGCGAAACGCCGTGTCCACAACCATATGATGAATTATTGGCAAAGCCAATAAACAAATCTGAACTTTTTCCTTCAACATGTCAGTGTGTATACTGTAACAAATGTACAGAGACTGCTAACAAACTGTCAAAAAGCACAATGCAACTCATGTAGAAAAACAGAGCACTTTTTATTGTTCACTGTTAGTGAAAATACAGTGTACTATACATGGAAACAGTGGTGCGTTCATGCGAACACACACAGTGTGGAAGGACGTATATCCTACATGTTTTAACTATCCAGCTAAGAGTTTTTCCAGTATATTTTCATGGTTACTCTGCTCATCACAATAAACTTTGTTTGTTATTGACCCAAACATGTACACAAGTGTGAAGCACCGAAAGATGGTTACAAAGCCTGTAGGAATGAACGCCTCTGTTCTGGCTTGTGAGAAACGCAAGGATGAAAGTAGGTGCATTCCCCTACCTGGGATGCACCGAGAGCATTTCTGAGGAAGAAGTAACATTTTTCACAGCTTGTCAGCGTACTCCCCAGCCTATTAAAGAGAAGCAGTGAATTCCTATCCAGCCCACATAAGCTGATGCAGTTTGCCAAAATGGAGGCTTCTTGTTGCAGCTGCTGGGGAATCCAGTGCTATGATCCTAGCAGAGATGTCATGGTATCCTTTCTTAAGGCACCTATTAGCATAGGATTGCAACACTGATCTCATGGGCTGTTGCTGCAGCTAGAAAACAACTGACACATTAGGCTGATTAATCCCTGTAGTAATTCCATTAACCTCCTTAATGGAGTTATAACATGGATGAATTTACCCCTCTGCAGCAATGCGAGAGGGAATTGCCTGGGAGAGCCTGTAACTGTGGCATGTGTGTGGCAGGGATGTCCGAGGTAAACATTTTTTTGTTTGTTTTAGTGCAAAGTGAAGTGTCCTGACCAGCTGGAAAACCTCCCTGTCTTCAGGGATTTTGAACTCTTCACAGCAGTAATGGTGCAGGTGCCCAGTGCGAGAGGGTGATGCATCAGGGCTCAGACACATCAGCAGAGCTCTCGGCACCCTCCTGACAGCTCGCTGCGCGTCCACACTTCCCTCTCTCTCTCTCACAGGCACGCATAGCCTGCCTCATCGCACAGCTTCTCAAACACAGCCTTTTCATTCACCTTTGCGGTTTCCTCTCCTTATGCCTCTGTCTGATCATGATTTACCTGCTTGCTGCTCCCTGTCAGAAGGGCAGCTTTTCCTGGACTGTGTCATTGGGCAAAGGACTGCTAAAAATAAGTAGCAGAGCTACAGTCCTAACATATCATTGCATAGGGAGCAGATCAAGAACAGAAATGAGAAATTCTGAATTTATCTTTGTTTTCTTCGTGATTTCCTAGCCTGTGGAGAGAAGGTTTTCCTGCCGCATTAGCCATGTGCATAGCCTGCTCCTAGGGCAGCTTGATTGCATTGCAGTTCTGTCATTAAAGGCTTCTCAGTACTGTGAACTTACCTCAAGTATATAAGAGCCAAAAAGGCACCCTGCAAAACCCTCCCAAGGGACCGACACCATTTTTGCAGTCTACCACAACAGCCCAGGCTCTCTGAAAGCTCCAGCTGCAGTTCAGTAGGGACTATATAGGGTGGCTAATGGGGCTGGGGGCTGGGGGAGTCAGGCAGGGAGCCACAGGAGGGTCTGACTAATTTTTCTGCTAGTTCAAAAACTGTTGCCACATACGCAGGTGCAGTGATGTGACTACTAAGCTGCAGTATCTCTTCATCTACATGGTTTGTGATCTCCTTATTAATATGCTAAATTTATTCTGTTTGATAGCCAGCCCTTTCCTCCCACAGAGGCTGCAATCCCAAGAGATGGAGTAGCCCAGCTGTTTAGTGATCCAGGAGACAGTGGGAGAGAACAAGGGAGGTGGTGTGTGCATGGGATGCTCACATACGCCCAGGGATTTTATTTCTCTTTCTGCCTACGGTAGTCACTTCCCACGTTCAGCACAGGGATGAGAAGTCCTAGCAGCCACCTCTTGCCAAAGACCTCTTGCAGGTTCTCCCTCCAGGGCCGGGCTCTTACCACCATCCCCTTCCGCACCTGGTACCGCGTCTGCCCACGCAGAATCAGCAGCATTTGGTGGCAGCAGAAGCCAGCGCAGGCCAGTCCGATCCCAAGCCAGAGGTAGAGCATGAGGATGACAAACATCTCAGAGCTAAGGAGAGCTCCTGCAGACCAAGAGTCGGGGGGAGGGAGGACAATGAAAGAAAGAGTTTAGACATCTCACATGCCAGCGTAACACTTGGCCCTGAGCACCCACCGGCTGCCTGTATTCTCTGACCACAAGTGGGGAGTTAGGAGGGAGACAGGCTGGTTGCTCTAACTATATGAAAGTGTTTCCTTTGTAGTGTCTGATGCGATGGACCCTGCTGGGGAAATACTAACATGATAATGGTCTCTGTATGCTTCTCCCTTTGCTTTTCATGTGAGGATCTAGAATACAGGGGCATATTCAGCCAGAAGTGAAACATGTCTGTAAGACTTCAGCACTATTTTGAAGAATGGTTAATTTATTTAAGGTTCTACCTGCTCATCACAGTGAATCTAAGATTTCTAGGTTCCTTTTGAAAAGAGATGTGGGTCCTATAGCACGTAGATGCTTCCAGAAACCTTACTGTGTGCATTAATACTAGGCGGAAAGATTTGGGATTTCTCTCTCTCTCTCTTTCATCACTATATGCGTATACATACATTAGAAAAAAAAAGTTGAAAAGGAAAAATAAATCAGTAATGACTTTCCTACCATTGGGCAAAGGCAGTTTTCATATGAATGCAAGAAACAGAAACAGAAAACTTTCCAAAATACAATCCAAATTCCTTTTTTAAAGCTACTGCTAGAATACTCAAAATACTTTGTAGGTCTGAAGCTCCTAATTCAGCACTATATATTGTAGTATATATTTATGTTGAATATATTTAAATAAAAATATTCTGTGGGCCCTTTCCTCTACAATGATTTTAGAACTCCTTCTGGAAAATACTAGTAGAATAGCAGGTATCACTGAGTGACCTTTCAGTGCATAGGCAGTTCTAAATCCATGAAAATAGTATTCTCTGCATGTGCATATGAATGTGTACACATGTATTTTGTGTATATTATTAAGCACACATATTTGCACACAGACACACAAAGAAAATTAAATGTATGTCAATACTGGCATAAAGAGCCGATATCCTCTCACTCATTCCTGCGAGGTTTAGAAATGAAAAAGCCCTCACATGCTTCCATCCCTCTGGAAGACCATGGGGCAGACAAACTCAGGCAGGTGGAAGCTCTGGTCGCTCTAAGCCCCTGCAAGAGCAATTCTGCTGGAGCAGGGATTGCATGGACAGTAGAGGTATGCTGCCTAGAACAAGTACGTGGCTGCTTCAGGTTTTTCACTCATTCCTGCGAGGTTTAGAAATGAAAAAGCCCTCACATGCTTCCATCCCTCTGGAAGACCATGGGGCAGACAAACTCAGGCAGGTGGAAGCTCTGGTCGCTCTAAGCCCCTGCAAGAGCAATTCTGCTGGAGCAGGGATTGCATGGACAGTAGAGGTATGCTGCCTAGAACAAGTACGTGGCTGCTTCAGGTTTTAAGTTCAATGCAAGGGTGGCTGGACAAGAGTCTCTTGCTTCTGTTACACAGAAGGCTGGATTAGGTGGTGTCATCTGGTTTTGCAGTCTGTGAATCCTGGCTTCTCCACCTGCCAGTGCTGTAAGTGAGAGACTGGGGCTGACCTGTCACAATCATATCAAGCTTTGGGCTCAGCCAGCAGCCCCCTCTGAGGATGATTTGTAAGGACACTGACTACAGCCTTGAGCTTTCAGAGATTGTCCTCACTTGAAAAAGGCACAGGAGTCATTCAGTTCTCTTCCTAAATGCAACGTCATCTTTCCCTTCTCATTAGATCCCATTCAGCTCAGTGGGGGTTTCGTATGCAATACAGCAAGGCAAGAACAAGCCCCTTAGGATGATGACAAATCCTCATACCAATTCTGTCAGAATAACTTAATCTATCAGATAGGAAGCCCAGAGCCAAATACGGGCTTCTCTGCCCCTCTTTTACTGGACCAGAGTGTGACAGACATTTGTTCTTTCCTACAGCTGATATTCGAATGGCATATGGAGAAAGATAGCTGTTTTCTTTAGAGCCTTTGCAAGGTGGCTGTAAGCTTTATTTCTATGAGCTGCTGAAATTCAACATCAAGAAAGTAATTACCCCTGTTTCCCCTTGAAAATATTAAGTATCTCTGAGCCATGCTTTCCAGATACATAATTTTTTTTTAACCTTTTCTTCAGGTTACCTACATAAAGCATTTTCTATAATTTCTTTTCTAGATTCAATCTAACCTGTGTTTACAAAAGTGCTCTCCATTTGTCCCTTATCACCACAGTCCGTCTTAGTCTCAGATTCACTTTTGCTCTAACTAACTGACCTGGTATGATCTCAAGCTTATTGCCATACATTATCTATGCCAGAAAAGCTGAATCACAGGCTGAAATTATAGACTCTGGGTTAGATTCTGAAATCCATGCCCAAGCACAGTCTGGGCAGAACGAGTCAATTGAAAATTTTCCCAGCATGAAAGCAGGGAACACTCATTTGACATAAGACCAGCTGATTCACCCTTTATCCTCCTAAAGTGCGGAGGGCATGAGAGAGAAGAGGAAAGGTAAAGTTTTTTCCCTGCTATAGCAATGCTCTGTTTGGATCCTACAACAACTCTTAAGTAATCGTTATGTTAGCTGAAAAATACTGGGTGGACAACCCTTCCAGGTAGCTATTGCAGGCTGTGTTTTTCTTTCCTGAACTGGAGGTTAAATGTGCTGGTAGAAACCCAGTAGGCCCTTCCTCCCAAGCAACCAAGACACCGTGTGCCCATGTATTGCTGTGTGAGGCAGCAGTTCTCACCCTGGCTGAGCTGGAGGTTCGGGGGGAGGTGCTGGGAGCTGCTGCCTCTCGAGAGCCTTCTGGCTCCCAGCCTCCAGCCCTGCGCTCAGCCCCATTGCGTCCCACTCAACCACTGCCCATGTGCTGTCTTTGGCACTGCGGTTGCTGACACCAGAGCTGGGGCACTTCAGTGGCTCTTCAAACATATGCCAGGACCCAGCTCAGTGCAGATGAGCCCCCAGAGCCAGAGAGGGAGAACTAATTCCTTTATAATCTCCTCCCACATCCCTGCTCCCCCTTCCAGGCTGCTGTGCTGAGCAGAGCTTAGGCACAGGGGAAAATCATTCCCAGAATTTTTAATGCCAGTGAAGCTCGTGCAACATTATTTACAAAAATTTTTCTACTTGGAAAAATGACTCCATAAAAATGTCATGGCAGGATTTCATGTTTATTGTCTCTCAGTGATTACCATGACAAATCTGCTAATTTGCCAAGTAGAGAGATATTTGTTTGTTTTCAGATGGGAACCCTGCAAACCCAGCCTGGAATTCGAAAAGCAAGCTGGGGCCTCTCTGGCTCCTGTATCCCCAGATACGCTCAGATCATAATCAACACTTCTGGTGACGGTGCACGAGCCAAAACAGACTCTGGTCCCTTCTACTGAGCTCGGCTGAAACTGCAAAGCTAAAATATATGGGATAGCTATTTTAGCCTAACAAAAGCTTATCTAAGTGTGCGAGGCATGAGGGGGCAATGGCATTTTTCTGCAGTCACTTTCACGGCAGACTAACAGTCTAGGCTGCATAGTCCCTTCCCTGACACCAGGTTTTATCTAGCTCTTGGGTTTGGACAGATAAAGGGTTGAGGTTGGAGAGTCTGAGGGTGTGTTGAAAGGTGAAGAGGCAAGGCTGCAAGAGCAGAGGAAGAGTTATGGGAGCAGAATCAGGAGGGGGAAGGGGAAGGGTTCCAGAGATTTATGGAAAGACAGGGAGAAAGGTGAAAAGGGGAGAAGCAGAAGGAAGGGTAAGGGATGGGGACAAGGAGAAAGAGGTATTTGCTTTTGGTGTGGAGCTCTTGCAAAGAGCAAGCACAGAGAATTTCCCCTGGTTCTCTGTGGACTCATGTCTCAGACTGGGGTCATAAGAGAGGTGGCTAATCATGTCACATTAACTCCTCCCTTCGTTTCTGTTGTCTGAACCCCAGTTCTCCTGTGCTGGAAGGATGGCAAGATGTGATTAAGTTTGTGCTGAGGAGGCAGGAGGTGGGTGACAGTGGCAGGGGTGAGTGGACCTGGATGAAGAGAAAGAGGATATTTCTGCTGGGATATGGGGAACCTGCAGACCTGTAGGATACAAAAACCTACAGACCCCAGGGAAAAGATCCCGCTCACCTGCAGTACAATGAGTAAAATCCCTCTCCTCTGTCTAACTGCAACACACTCCCTGCATGACTGATAGCCGTATTCTATCACCGGCAAGATGGTTATGGGGCATTTTGCCATAGCCTAATGCATTAGGAACAGGGCTGTGGCTGTAACCCGGAGTGGGTCGCAGCCTCTATTTCATGTGAAGCAAAGGCTGTCTCTAGCCTCCAAAGAGGGCTTTGTTGAACACAGCCAATTGTGCCTCTTACCCATTTCCCCACCACTGCTTCCCACACACAGCTATCTGAGGAAGATGATGTCCCCCCCTACCCCAGGAACCCTGGAGGAGGAACACGCTCCTCATCTCCGTGGAATGAGTCCTTACCTGAGAAGAACTGGCTGATGGAGTGAGGCAGAAGAGTGAGGAAGGCCAGTGGGTTTGCAAAGGACATGGAGAGTGCAGCAGAAATGTAAGCCATGCCTGCCACCAGTGAGTCGAGGCAAGCCAGGGAGGTGTAGAGGCAGAACATGATGAAGTTTCGCATGTTCCTGCTCCCGATGCAGTTCCCTGTGAAGAAACAGTGGTGGTCATGCCTCTGGGTGACTCTGGCACACAGTCTACAGAAGTGAGTGCTGGGCAAGGCTGAGCCAGGGGACCTGCTTCCATCCAGCCAGTCCGCCACCACTTCGGCTCCTTTGCCCAAGTTTAAGCCCTTGCCCAAGTCCTCGGGGGAGCTCTGGATCACAAGCACGTAGTTGCCCAGGGCATTAGCTGAGAGGAAGAGGAAGAGGGCCCCATGCAGCAGAGCAGGAGAGAAAAGTGGGGTGGTGGAAGGGTCTCTGAACATGCTGGGGATGAAGAGAAAGATCTGGAGGACGAAGGTCACTAGGGAGATGCACAAGAAGTAGGCTGGAGCGACAACATTGAGCAACCTGAGAACTAGCATTGCGGATTACGTTCCTGCAGGGGAAAGCAAGGAGAGAAGGAACATCACCGCTCCGGCTGCACACTTCATCCTTCCATTTCCTGCC